ACCTGCTGATTTAGCTCATCAAGAAACACTCACACCTTGCTCTGTAATGGATCACGCAGAGACCAAAGTTTGCAGCTAACTGCCTGATCTGCACTTGCTGCGTTAAAACTCTCAAATGAAAAGAGGGAGGGGGAATCGAAACAGAGTTTTGTCCCTTTGAGAGAGAAAGGTGGAGTGGATTGTGACACAGAGAAGGAAATCTAAGCTTTGTTCCTGCATGTCCAGGGAGCCATGTAGTTTTTCATGCCTCATCTTCCTACCTTGGGTAATGGACACCCCCAAGTCCACTGTAGGTCTGTAAGAAACAGTGAGCTGGACACTGGACAATGGCTTTAAACGAAAAGAGAGTCGATTTAGATTAGATATAAGGAAGAAATTTTTTACAAGGAGGGTGATAAAACACTTGAACCAGTTGCCCAGAGAGATGGTAGGTGCCTCATTCCTGGAAGCATTCATGGTTAGGTTAGACAGGGCTCTGAGCGACCTGGTTTGGTTGAAGATGTCCCTGCTCACTACAGGGGTTTGGACTAGATGACCTTTAAAGGTCCCTGCCATCCCAAACTATCCTATGATTCTACCAAGTGGTGCAGGCAGAGACCAACCATGTCATGCTTCTCATTTCAAGCTGTAAGAAAAATGATAAGGTATTGCCTCAAAAAGTATGCAGGAAGCACTTGTCTTCTTCCATCAGACAGAGCTGATGCATCAGTGCAACAAGGGTCGGGTTGGACTTGAGTGGGTTTCCCTGTGCACCCAGGAGCACAACCTGGCTCAAGAGAAATGGTGTACCAAACCCGAGCATCTGACGGAAGGGACACTTAGTTTTGGTGAAAAGAGCCTTACCTGAAACAAAAGCCTTTGAGTGCAGTCACAAACCACAGCTTGAGGTGAACTAAAGGGATTGTGTCCCCACAGCCCTCCCCTCCCCAAAATGCTTGTCATTTCCCTCATACCAGCCTTGGTATGTAGGAAAGCTCCAGAGCTCCTTCATTTGGTGGCACTGCCTGGTAACATCCTGCTCATGTGGGATGGAAAACAAGCATCCAAGGGAACTGCTCAGCTTTTGGCAGAAAGTCAACAGGAATTGGGCACAATGAAATATAAAACATTTACTAAGCAATTGTTTCAAGATTGCTTTTGGAACTTCGTTTAATTCATCGGAACCCTCTTCGCCTCCTGCCTAACCCTATTCTATCAGCCACAATGCAAAATTTGGGGAAAAAAAGCTGTTCCTACCCAGAAAGGGGCTCACATTAGGTACAGGCAAGAGGTACAAACACAGGTGGGATCTGTTGGTTCCTGCCATCCATTTGCCATTTTGCAGGGGAGGTGTTTCCACCACAGCTGTGTGATTGCCTGCAGAAACTACTAGAGGCAGAACCACCTCACTGCACTGGCG